TTTGACCGGTCTTTTTTTACTAGGGTTTTTCCCCCCCCCCCCCAAGACTTACTGTTGAGTCAGAGCTTTACAAAAAGGGGAAACATGTTTGCTCTGTCTGGCCTTCCTCTATTTAAGAAAGTTATCAGAAAGAAAAAAAAATTAAAATTTCAAATGCAGTCATAGCCACCAAAATTCTAACTCTATCAATTATTTTTAAAAAATAGCATTGGGCCAGCCCATGGCTGCTGGTCGAGGCAGCTGGATCCCACATGGCTGATCATGGGGTTCAAGTCCTGAACACCATGGCTTGAAAATCATGCTGGGCATGTGTGTGCGAGTGTGCCCAAATCCCAACAGCAGGGAGAGATGGAGGAGAAGGGATTGCAGCATGACCATTCCCCACTGGGGGCACTTTCTCACTTTCCCTCCCTCAGTATCTCCTGGTTGCATGTAACCTTTGACCAAAGTTGTCTTTTTTTTTTTTTTAAATAGCATCTGTTCATTTTTAAGTGGAGAACACTTCATAATTAGACAAAAATGCAGCTGTAGTTTCACCACTCACAGATAGCTCATTTTTCTTTGCTCATTTCTTCTGTAGGATTATAACATGTATTTCTGTAGCTTATTTTCCCATTAACTGCTACCATGAACTTTTGTATACAAAATTTCAGCACATTGCTTCTTTATGTCAAAGCTGCAATTTTACTAGATTAACCTAACATGTTTTATCTTTTTTATTTTAATAGCTTTCAAATACTGTTAACTTACTCTCCTGACTTCTGTTTCCTTTTGGCAATGAACAAATAAATATCTAATTTTTTTTTTTTTTTTTAGGTTTTTGCCATGGGGCATGTGCATTCTCTGGAGAGAGTCAGAGAAGGAAAAGTGAGAAATCACTCCCCTCTCCCCTGAGGAATGGCCACATCACAATTCTTTCTCCTGCATTCTCTTCTCAGGATTTTGAGCACACATGCACATGCACCGGGCATGAGTTTCAAGCCACCAGGTCTGGGACTCAAACTGTAATAGACCATGTGGGAGTCTAGCACCTTAACCACCATGCCACCAGCTGGCCCTAAATATCTCATTTTTAATATGTTTTCTTGTCGAAGAAAAATAAACAATGTGAGTGAACCAGAAACAGTACAGAAAGCCTTTTAATAATTCTCTGTTAAAGTAGGTGAGAGAAAGTGTAGAAATGTGATTTCTAGGAGCTGGCAGGTGGTAAGGTGGTTAAAGGTGCTCGATTTTCACATGGCTGACCATGGTTCAAGTCCTGGACCTGGCAGTTTACTTTCTCGCTTTACCTTTCTCTCTCTCTCTGTCTCTCTCTGGTCAAATTAATAATAATAACAACAATGACAACAAATAGAATTAAATAAATATTTTTTTTAAAAAAACGAAATTTGATTTCTACTAGCTCTGATTGCTGAGTTGGATGTTTATGTCCTTAAACTCTAAAAGGGTGTGTCTCTGTTTCCCATGGAAATAGATTCTACTGTGCAGTGAAAATGCTGTGTGCTTGAATTGGCTGCAACCAAATATACTGTCCCTAATAGGAAAAAAAAAAAAAAAGCATGCAAATGAAAGACACAGAGACTTGCCAAACTGTTCATATCCCAGCCTATCCCCCACCCCCTTGCCCTCAAACCCTTGGCACTGTTCGTTTGGATGCACCCAGTGTACTTTTTCTGTCTCAGTGATCCCACCTACAGGAGGAAGTACTCTCGGACTGCTTCATTATTAAAATATTCCAGATAGCCCCCAAGACATGGAAGTGGGCACTGATAGAATATACCTTTTCACCAGCCAGGTGTCTTGCTGAACCCATGCGTTTTCAATATTCCTTTTAAGGACATTGAAGGAACAACAGATTTTATATGCTCCATGCCAACCCAGTTCATGGAAATTAAGATTTAAAAAAAAAAGTCAGCATTACCACTGGGGTCTGGATCAGTGCCCTCTTTAAGACATTTTCTGGCCTGCATAAAAGTGCAATTTCTAGACTAATCAGATATGTAACTCCTTAAAAAGGCACTCCTTTAATTTGTGCTTGGGTTTCTTTCCATGCACTGATAAAAGAGAAAGAAAAATCACAACTTACTTTCATAGAAAACTGGATGCATGTTCGTTCATCGACTTGATACGAGACACAGAGCATAAACAAGCCAAGGTAGGCCACCAAACAGACCTGCAGTGGAGGACAGCGACGAAAGGACATTATCAGGGCAAGTCCTGTGTTCTCATGACATCAATCTCGCTGTCTATCCCCAGTAAGACCCATGTTATCAAACTGTTCACTTCGTTTACTTATCTTTATGTGCGGTGTCTTTTCTCCACTTGTGGAACAGTTTGAAATATAGTAAAGTCCATTTATTTCCATTTAGCCAGTATTTATTAAGTCCTTTTGATGTGCCGGGTGCTATTCAAGGTCCTTCAGCATATACCATAATGAATAAGGTTTCCTCAGCTTTAATCAGTTTACAGTCCAGGCCACGCTGAAGTGAGTGCACACGCTACTCTAAGGCGGGCATTACACGTCAGATGTGATTCAAGAAGTACAAAAAGATGAGGAAATTACCCTGAGTTGGCAAGAAGCATTGGAATGGGGCTTGAAAGAGACCATAACAAAGATGATTAACATTTACTAAACACTTACTAAGTGTTGGTGCTCTTCTAAGGGCTTGTACTTCCTCACGTCATCATCACAAAATCCAATAAAATTTATGATTCTTATATTGTAAATAAGGATACTGACAGGGCCAGACAGTGTCATGGTGGTTAAAGTAGCTGGATTCCACATGGTCGACTCCACTGTTCAAGACCCAGACCTGATGGCTTGAAAAACATGCTGGGAACATGAGCGTGTGTGACCAAAATCCTGAGAGGAGAATGGATTGTGGTGTAGTCATCTCCTTCCCCGGGGGGCGGGTGATTTCTCACTGTTCTTCTTTCTCTCTCTGCCTCTCTCCAGTGAGTGCATACACACTATAGCAAATAAATAAATACATTTTTAAAAGAATGCTGACTACAAAGCCTGTAAATAATGGAACCGAGCCTTGAACCAGGCACCTGGGTAAAAAGGAGCTACCATAGCTCAGAGATAGGATTGCACAAAGCAGGTCAAAAGAAGAGCAAATACCTTTGTTGAAATAGTAGTATAGAGTCAAAAAAGTGGGATGAGAATCTGAGGATGTAGGATGGATTTAGTACGTAGTGAAGCTCCCTTGAAAATTTCTGAGCATGGGACCAGCAGTTAGCGTAATGGCTATGTCGCTGGACTCCCATGTAGTCGACAGCAGTTCGAGTCCTGGACCCAGTGGCTTAAACTCATGCCGGGCGCATGTGCGTACATGCCCAAGATCCTGAGAGGAGAATGGAGGAGACGGGATTGTGGTGTGGCCATCCTCCCTGGGAGGGTGACTTCTCGCTTTCTGTCTCTCTGTCTCTCTCTGTCTTTCTTGCAAGCACATGCACCCTACAGCAAACCCCCCTCCCCCCCCAAAAAAAGAGAGAAAATTTCTGAGTATGATTTAGAGACATGCTTCAGGAAAATGGGCATTGGTGTTCAGTGGGTTGGCGGTAAGAACATCAGCATCTTATTTTACCAATCTGAACAGGATTAATACATTAGGTGGTTCAGAGCTCAGGTGGTGTCAGGCAAATTCAGGGAGAGCTAGAGAGGACAGGTATGGTAAAAGCAGAATCTATACATCTTGAATATTGTGTGACTGATAGGAGAATGCGAGAGGGGAAGGAATGGAAAGTGACCTCCAAGTTTTGCGCATCAGTGATGGAAAGAGGGTGGACGTGACTGATTAAAGGATGGCAGAAAGGAGGGATAGTTGTTGAGAGAAATGGACTTGTTTGTTAGCCAAACTAGGTATTAGTTTTCATGAACTAGAGTTTATTTCTTTTTGGAGAGGTTTTTGCTGTAGGACGTGTGTGCTTGCCAGAGAGACAGAGAGAGAGACAGAGAGACAGAAAGCGAGAAGTCACCCTCCCAGGGAGGATGGCCACACCACAATCCCTTCTCCTCCATTCTCCTCTCAGGATCTTAGGCATGCATGCACATGTGCCCTGTGTGAGTTTAAGCCACCGGGTCCGGGACTTGAACCGTGGTCGACTACATGGGAGTCCAGCGACATAGCCATTACGCCAACTGCTGGGCCCTGAACTAGAGTTTTTAACATTGTGATTTAGAGTTTCTAATGAAATCATGTCTATTCACATTCAATTTCGGAATGTTAAATGTTGATGACGTTCTACATTTTAAAATAGGAAACATAGGCAACAGAATTGACTTTATGATAAACACAATTTTCCTAGAGATGGATGTTGGAGGGGTGGCTGAGTCACCTCGCAAGTTACTAAACAACTGATTTGGTGGTAATCATCATTTCTACCCTTAGAAAGGGCCAATTGCAAACCACAGACAGGCCCTGTTAGAGTGGTGGAGCTGTTGAATCACAAAGTCATCATAGCATTTGAAGGGGCTCCTTCTAGCCTAGACTCCTCTGGATTATACAATCAATGAGCTTCCTGAGCCCTCATCAGTGCCCAAGTTGAGAGCTGTTCAGATTTTTACTGACCATGAAGTCAAAGGCTAAGCTTTCTTTTAGTGCAGGCTGTTTTCAGAGTTTTCCATCATTAGGACTGGTGGCATGGTCTAATAGCAGTAGACAACATTTCCAGTGAAGAGACATGACATTCAAATACATGTGCATGGCATGGGCTGGAGAGAAAACAAAGCAGCCAGGACCCAGCAGAGCAGCTCTTTAGCAGAGAGCTGGCACATGCAGAGGTAAGGACCCTGTTACCTGTGCAGCCCATAGTGTGGCTGACATTTCCTAGGCAGGGGTCAAGTTCTTTTTTGAAAGCTTGTTTTAAAAAATGCCAAATTGGGACATAAGTTTGATAAGGTCTATAGGAGGTTACTGTGCATTCTTACATTAAGAATTTACAGAACTTGAAACAATAGGAAAAAAAGACTCCTTGTTGTATATTGGTGACAAACCAGATTGAGTCTTCTTAATCCGCTTCTGTGGGGACCTTTACCTCCCTGGGCACATGCCTGCACTCCCTCGTTAATTTCTGCACAAGTGTAGGGTCAGGAGCTCTCCCACATAGCTGTTTGTATCCCTGGATGCTGCTGTGTTGAAACTGGCAATTGCCAAGATTTTACTCTTTGTTTTTATGAGACATGTTCTAATCATCAGGCCTAACTGACTAGCATCTTAAAAAGATCTGATTTGGTGCCTCTACTTGAACAAAATTTCCCGTTTCATCATAGCTTTTTTTTTTTTTTTTTTTTGAGACAGAGATTTTTACCTTAAGGTGTGTGTGCTCACCGGGGAGAGAGACACAGAGTGAGAGAGAGAGAGAGACTGTGAGAAGAAAACTGAGAAATCGCTCCCCAGGGGGCTGGTTGCACTGCAATCCCTTCTCCTCCATTCTCCTCCCGGGATTCTTGGGCACGCATGCACACGCGCCCAGCGTAAGTTTCAAGCCACTGGGTCCAAAACTCGGACTGCAATAGGCTATGTGGGAGCTCAGTGACCCAACGGCTACACCATCTGCTGGCCCTACTATTTCTTTGTAGCCTTCATTTAGTCTGGTTTCTAGCAAGAAATTGTGTAGGAGCGTGTGACCTCATTCTAGAATATTTCACTTACTCAATTGCCGGAACTTGGTGGAGGATATACAATAGCCAGACTCTGCTACTGTATGACTCTGGGAAATGAGAGGTGAAAAAACACAATCCTTTCCTCCAGGAACTATCCAGCCCCCAAGGATTTCACAGTCCAGTGGAAAAAAAGAGATGAGCAAAATTGCATTATCATGTCAATACTAGAGGTATTGGGGACACTAAAGGACCCTTGGGGAGACGTCCTGGAGGAAGATAGTTTTGAAGGAGAAGCAGCAATGAGCTAAAAGGACAAAATGAAGGAAGGTATTTGGAGCAGAGAGAGGACTAGGAGGTGTGAAGGCTTAGAGAAATGCAGAGTAAACATCCAGGATTCCTGTAGGCCAATGTAGAGAAAGAAACACAAGGCAAAAGATGTTTGCAGAGATGGGCAGGAAGTAGGCCACAAAGAACTTTTATTTCAACTGGGACATTTGAAGCAGAGGGAGGGTGTGCTCACCTTTGCCTTTTAGAATGGCCCTCTGGCTAAGAGGCATAGATTGAATGGGGAAGGAAGGTCAGCAAGGAGGCTCTCCTCCATCAATGGAGAAATGAGTGCCTGAGTCACATAGAAGTGCGGAGAGCGAGTGTGTTTGAGTGACAGTAAGGATGCCAAATCCATTGGCTCTAAAAACTCATCAGATGTAAGGGCTGAAGGACAGGAAGGTGCTCAGCTGCCCTGATGACTAGGTGCCAGGTGGGCAATGCTGACATTTAGCGACACACAAGCTAAAAGAAGAGAGGTAGAATGGGAATGGGGGACCATGATCCCACATAGACTTAGAGCTCAGCCATGTGGGTCTAGAGCTCAGGAAGGAGGTCGAGGCTGGACACAGAATGTGTCAGTTATCAGCATCTGTGAAGCGATTGCAACCACAGGAAATGCTGGGCTATCCAGAGGGAGTGAAACAAAAACAGAATAGGGGCCGAGGAAGCTAGCTACCCAGTTATAAAGCATCTCTGAACCTTTTAAACAGAAAGCATCTCAAATATACTTATCATTTTGGTTGCATATAATGTCATGCCTAAAGATTATGAACCTAATTGTGTGGATTTTGAAAGTTTCACTTCTGAGTCCTATACAGATTATGCATCCCTGTCAGAAATGCTTGAGACCGGAAGTGTGTTAGGATTTTAGATTTTTTCTCAGATTTTGGAATAGTCGTATATGTATAATGAGATATCTTAGAGATGGGGCTCAAGTTTAAATATGAAATTTATGTTTCATATACAATTCATGCATGTAACATGAAAGTAATGTTTTACAATATTTTATATTGCAATATTTTGACTGACTTGTCATATGAGGTCAGGTGTGCCTGAAAAGTTTTAGATTTTAGAATATTTTGAATTCTTAGATTAAGATATATAAGGTATTTGCTATAAAGCCTGAATTAATTCAAACATCTTGGGTCATCGGAAAAGTTATGACATATTTTTTTCTATGCCAAAATGTGTCATGACTTTTCTGACAACCCAATATTTTAATTTTTTGGCCTTCTGAT